CAGCAAACATACTTGATAATGAACCCAATGGGGAATGTGTTTCTCTGCAGTTCAAGCCAAACTTACTGGTGGAAAAGTTTTCCCCCCATTCCCTCAAAGTGTCTGGGCTTCTGGACAATTCCTGTCAAGCATCTCAAGAATTTTCTTTCTTCTCAGTTTTACGACTTCTACCTCCCTGCCAAATGTAAATGAGATGAGCTCCGTGCACTGAGCTCGCTGTCTGGAATAACTGATAACCGGTGAATTTGCTGGACCCAAATGACTTGTGCTCTCTGTAACCAACACAAAATGCTTACCCACTGTAAACCCGCCCCCTCAGGAGAGTACAACCTGTCCTGCTTGAGTCCAAAGGGAGGCTGGGGTCCGTCTCTTTGTGGAGAAATTCCAGACTGACCCTCTAGTGTTAAGAATAAAACTGTATACTTTGCCTCCAAAACTTCTGGGTGCATCTTCCATTCTCCTGGACTACCTGTATGTATGTTCCAGCTGATGATAATTTGCCGCTACAATGAAATAATTTCTTTTGAATTTTTTTCATTTTTTGAAAAGGGTCTCACTATGTCTGTAGTTCAGGCTAGCCTCAAACTCACAGCAATCTTCCTACCTCAGCCTCCTGAGTACATGTGCCACCACACATCGCCTAAAAATCGCCTTTTTTTGGAGATGACATGATCCTTTATATAGAAAATCCCAAGAAACTCTAATAAGATTAGAACTGGTCTACTGCAAAATCACGAGATGGACATACAAAAACCAACTGCTTTCCTCATGAAACCATGAAAAACAAAAAAAAGGACAATTCACAATATTACCAACCAGAACAAAATGGTCAAGAAAAAATTCAACAAAAGAAGTGTAAGATTCTATACTCTGAAAATGTAAACACTACCAAAAAGAAATCTGCGAGATGGAAGCAAAAAACACTGAATGTTCTCAGGCAGCCAGGCTTCATGTGATTAATGTGAGCAACCATAGATATTCTACCACACACTACTTACTGCTAAGTACTGAGTCCGCAGTGAAATATTAACTTTTGCCCTCACAGGCTACAGTAGCTCTGCAGGCATCACTAGGTGACCTAGTCCTCTGTGTGTCTGAGAAAATATCCCTCCTCCCCCATCCTGACATAATGTCAAAGGCCTCTTTTACTACAAATACATGTATTTTTCTGACCCCCTTAACCACTAACCCTAATCAGCTTATATACCTTAACACCACTCAAAACTGTTTCAGTTTTTTAACAACACCAGGAATATTAAACCCTCCTGACATAGGGGAAATGATGTAACTCCCAACCTAGGAAATAGCAGATACAGAGTTCATGTTCCCTAAAATGGAAGAACGAATTCTAAGGAACAATGGAAGTGGCTAAGAGCAGGAAATATTTGGGCTGGGGATTTAGTTCAGTGGTGCCTGGGCCTGCCTTGCAAGCACAAGGTCCCGAGTTCGGCCCCTGGTACCAAAAGGGCGGGGGAGTAGGACATATTTATTGAGAGGGAGAAATTTTGGCTCCTGAGAGACAGGAGGGGGACCAAGTGGGTTGCCAGGAACTCCATTTCACAGGGGAAGTTTTACAGAGCAAAATCACAAAGTGGACACAACATGTGGCAAAACTATGATCAGCTAATGAGATTAGAAGTATAGCTGCTTAGGTAATATTGACCCAGTGGAAGCCAGTCAAGTAGAAAGTGTATAAGGAAAGAACGAAGAACTTCTTTAGGAAGTGGTGGATCCAGAGGTCCTAATCACCCAGGAGGTAACTGATGTCTATCTAGACTACTGGGCCAGGGGTTACCATTTATCCCTTGGGGACTATGCAGGCCTGGTCATTTCGTCTTTATCTGGAGGCCTGATGCACCTCCGGCCACAGTTGTAATGTGTTTTCATCTTTTGTGCTGACTCTCTCGGAGGCCTAGCCCTGACTGACTGCCTGTAATATTTCTACCCTAGCTGTCTATAGTACTATCAAAAGAAAATATCACTCAGGCTTCAAACATTTGGCTACCCTCAAAATTGAGATAGAAGGACAGGACACTAAAGCCATGGTGGTAACAGCATTCCTGAGAAAATGCTCATACACTCCCTCCTCCCTTACACTGAAACCAAAATAAAGGTCGCTGCTTTTCTCCAGCCAATGCATTCCTCTTGGAATTTGCACGCCACTTTCTAGAAGTGTTATCAATAAACTAATTATCCTATAATCCTCATCTACAGGGTAAATTCTTTTCACTCCCTAAAGTTGTAGACAGTTAAATTAGTCAGATATAATACAGGGAGTTAGGCAGGACCTAGTCAGCCAGGGAGTCAACCCAGAAGACAATGTGGCCAGAGGCACTTCCACTAAAAACCAGGCTTCACGAAAAAGAGGAATGACTACACCCACATCCTTCCCCTAGGGAGGAACAGCAGTGATTGACATTCTACATAGAAAACAATCACCTGGGAGGGGGACCAAGCCCTCCCTAGCTCATTCCTTCCCAGTAGAGGCCCTTTTCATCCACTTACACTTACTTGCTGCCTGTCTAGTTTCTCCCTTTGATCCCATCAATCAATATTACCTGTGATTATGTTTGTTGTAATCTTATTGGTTGAGCAGTTTTGTCCCACCTCATGTAAGCCCTGTGATTTCCCATTGGATCAGTATTACTGTCAGGCTTGATCAGGTCATGAAATAGTTAAAGAGGGCCTGGGATTTAGCTTAGTGGTGGCACTGTCTGCCTCAAAAGCACACAAGGTCCAGAGTTGAATCCCTAATACCAAATAAATAAATAAAAGTTAATGAATATGCTCTTTAATTCCAAGCTAGTTTGATGAGATACAAAAATCCACACCGAATCAGGCAACAGTGCAGCTGCTGTCTCCACCCCACAAAAGCTGTGCTATCTAGGTGCAGACAGAACACACAACACAGGATGGGACGTTCCCAACATAGAGATAACAACTACAAAGTTCAGCATCTTCTCAATGCCAAGTCATCCACACATCTGCCTCACTCGCTACACGGACCCAACCACAAATATTTGCTCTGACCCCTAGACTTTTCTTCTTTTTTTATTTTTTTTTTTGGTGCTGGGGATCCAACTCAGCTAGGCAAGCTCAGAACCACTGAGCTAAATCCCCGGCCTTCCAGCCTTTGCTTTGTTCAGTGCTGGCAGCCTCTGCCCACATGAATAAAGTCTGTACTCTTTGTTTTCACTAGCCTACTCCAGTGGTCTCATTCCTCCACTGTTTGTTAAAACTACCTGAGCAACTATACTTGTAATCTTTTAGTTGACTATAGTTTTGTCTCACCTTGAACTTGCCTCATCTCATGGCTTTGCTCAATTAAACACACTTGAGATCCCCCGTACCAAAAAAAAAGAAAAAACCACACACACACACACACACACACACACTTGAGAAGCAGAGTCCCTGGCCACCCACTCAGGACCCCTTCTGTCTCTCTTAGAAAGAAGCTATCTTAAAGAAGCTATCTTTCAATAAATTCTTCCTACTCTTAAACTCAGCGGTTCCCAGAATTCATTCTTCAGTTTTAGAGACACCAACTTTGAGTGCTGGAGTTACACCATACTCCTGTATACCTGGCACCAGCCTCTGACACACAGGGTCTGCCCAGCAATGGGTAAGAGCAAGTGGGTGGTACAGGCCATAGTCCCAGCTCTCAAGGAAGCTGGGGAGAGTCGGGGGTCAAATTCAAGCCTAGTCTGGGCAATTCAGTGATTTTAGGGATATCTGTCTCAAAATACAAAAGAGGCTGGGGACATAGCCCAGAGTGAAGTCCTGAGTTTATTTTTTAAAAAACACAAGAAGACATAATTTCTGTTTTCTCCGTAGACAGACAGGGACTTAATAGTGATTATTTACTAAAACCCAAGACTCTTTCACCTGGGCGGACAAATAGGTAACTTAAGTAAAACAAAGCTTTTATTTTGTAAAACTCGGTCAAACTCTTCTCAATGCTACATATAGACATGTTAATCATTTAGGGAGTGTCTGCCTAAAAGTCGGCAAAACAAAGTTTATTGGCCAAAAATTTACCCAGCCTATCTCGTCCTCCTTCAAAATAAAGGCAGCAAGATAAGAATATCCGGAGCACTGTAATTTGGGGGGCCCACAGGAACTTGGAATTCTTAGCTCGTACTCGTCCAGCTTTCGACCGCCTCCCCTGCCCGGAGCCGGGCTCAAACCTCGAGCCCTCCGCACTGATACTCCCCAGGCAAAACCACCAGCCGAGGGGCCGGAGCCCTCCCTCCCAGGGAGATTCCCAGGCCAGCCTGGGGAGCCATGGCTGCCACACGGACCAACCACATCCCTCACACCCCAAAGCTGGCCCTGCTCCTGGGGCGGCCAGCTTGAACCCCTGCATCAGAGAGGGCCCCTCCGGCCATCCAAGCCGTAGCTTTCCCGTTTGGTTTTTTTTTAATAAATTTTATTTTATCCCACCCCCCCCAGCTCCCTATGTTACTTGTTACAGAACCAGCCTGATCCTGCCCAGAGCTGCGCTCCCCTTTCCCTTACTTTTAATTAAAGTTTTGTCCTGCATACTTATGCTCTAGTTGCAGTTTCCATTACCACTAAGGTGGGGACCCACACCAACCAGGGGTGGGATAACCAGAGATCACACAAGCTGCTCCCAAACGTCCTCCGGTCTGAAGCATAAACCGCCACCCTTCCCTCTTCCCCACCTGAAAGGATGGAACAGAATCCAGATACTGGCCGCAGGGGGTCTGGTGCAGTTTCCGGCCCTTGGAAGCCGCGGAAAACTTCCAGGAGGAACGGAGCAAGTGTGTCTACTGTCCCGTTCGGTACCCTAGAAACTCCTTCCTCTGAGATCAAAGGCCCCTCCACACCTGGACACAGTGAGATGCGTCCCGTGGGCCCTCCATCTCAGAGTAGCTCTGAATAAACTGCTTTTCCCTTTCATCAAGCTTCCCAGGGTCGAGCGGGGCGGGTAGCAGCGGGCGGCCAGGACCTGAGCAGCCGGTGAGAGCACGACTTACCAGGTGTCTTCACGGTGGCGAGCGGGGGAAAGGTCTTTTCCAGGAGGCTGCTCACAGGAGGCACTCTATTCCACAACCACCGAAAGGGAAAGGGACCGGCCAGGGGCTGCTGCTGGCCTCCGAGCAGGGCAGGAGCCTGCTGCTGGGTAAGGGCCAAGTACCAAAGGTTGTGGAAAGCAGCATATGCACTGTAGGAGCTGGAGGCTGCAGGGTTGAACATGGTGCAGGAGCCTGGGGTGAGCGCAGTGCGGGCAGGAAGTAGAATCCCTTTCTTCGCACGATCGCTCCAGCGCCCTCTACTGACAGTTTCGGCGCCATGGAGCAAAAGATTTTTAAAAAAATAGGATCTTGGTGGCACAGGGAGGCCGAGACAGGAGGATCGCCTGGGCTACATAGTGAGTTAAAGACCAGCCCAGGGATTTAGCTCAGTGGTTCTGCACCTGCTTTGTAAGCACAAGGACCTGAGTTTGATCTCCAGTACGAAAAAAAAAAAAACAGCAATAAAATAAACCTCAGTGGGTTCAAAGTCAAACTTAACGGATTCCATAGACCCTATCTAAACAACAAAAAATGCCCAGGGGCAGGTTTGGTGGTGCGCACTGGTAATCCCAGCATTGGGAGCTGAGGCAAGAGGAACATCACCAGTTGAGGCCAGCCTGGGCTACATCAAGGCCAACCCAGATTATACAGCAGGACCCAGTCTCAAAAAAAAAAAAAAAAGAAAAAAAAGAAAAGCTAAATATATCTTGTACAGGTACAAATTCCATATGATGATTGTGGTCATTATGTATATCTCAAGTGTACCAATAAACTAATTTTTTTTTTTTTTTGGTACCAAGGACCGAACTCAGGACCTCGCACTTGAGAGGCAGACAGTAGCACCACTGAGCTAAAACCCCAGCCCCCAATAAAAAAATTTTTTTTTTTTTGGTCCTGGGGATGGAACTCTCAGATCCCTGCACTTGCAAGGCAGGTGGCAGAACCACTGAGCTAAATCCCCAGCCCTAAAATTAATTTTTTTTAAATAAAAGAAAAAATAAACACCCAGAAAAAATAAAGTCCTTTATATAGTTAACTAATAATCTCTGGCAAGGAGACAGAAGACTTTCCTGCACTTGTAAGCTTCAGACAAGCTTCTCACTTCTACCCCACATGCTCTTTGCTTGTCTCTGTAAGTTCAGACTGAGGCACAATTGAGACCAACAAGGCAGGCAAAGTTCAAGCAAGCAGCTGGTGAAGAGTTTGTTGTAGTCTGCGTACAGACAGGCCAAGGGTGAAAAGACAGTTTGCTCCAAGAGGAGGATGTACAGGGCTGGCATATGGGAATGCAGGAGGGGGCACTGGTCAAGAGGAGGAAACTTTAGCCTCAGGGGGATGGGCCTGGCAATGGCTGATAAACAAGGTGGTGGTAGGAGCAGCAGCATGGTGGTGAGTACAGCAGGTTTCATGATTTTTCATAGAATCAGTCTCTCCCAGCCAGGGGGATCAAACTTAGGACCTTGCACTTGCCAGGCAGGCAGGCACCACTGAGCTATGTACCCATCCCCAAGAATCAGCTTTCTTGCAGGTGTAGCTAAGTTGGGTGGCTGCTGTTATTGCTGTGCTCCTACAGATGGAGGTAGCAGGTCTGCTTGAGCAGGGATCTGACTCTAGGGACCTGTCAGTTTCCCTCTGCTAGGGAAATCCTAAGTCATATGCCAATTGCTTTTAACTCATGTACTACTATTTTGAATTTGTATTTCAACATTTCTCAGAAGAATTAGTTTCTATTGTAAAACAGCTGAGACAACTGATAGCCTATCAAAATTTCAAACACTGCCAGGCCTGGTGGCCCACGCCTGTAATCCCAGCACTCGGGAGGCTGAGTCAGGAGGATCACTGTGAGTTCGAGACCAGCCTGAGCTACACATAGTGAGTTCCAGGTCAGTCTCACTACATAGTGAGATCCTGTCTCAAAAAACCACAAAAAACCACAAAAAAAAAAAAAAAAAAAAAAAATTCAAACATTAATTCCATGTAATGTTTCATGTTTAAGTGACTCATTCAATCAGCAAACCTGGATTATTTTTACCATTAGACAATAAGAAATAAAGATGTTTTGTAGCTTGTAGAATTTTCATTGTAAATTTACAAACATATATTTTATCAAACTTTTATTGCCGGGCATGATGGCACACACCTGTAATCCCAGCACTTGGGAGGCTGAGGCAGGAGGATCACTGAGTTCAAGACCAGCCTGAGTTATATAGTAAGTTCCAGGTCAGTCTCAACTACATAGTGAGACCCTGTCTCAAAAAGCCCCCAAAATTTTTTTTCTTATTCATACTTTCAATATCTTATCTAGAATATGATTGAGTTTAAAATTTTTACCGGTATTCTGTATTCTGTACTCAGAAAACATAATTTCAGGGTTATTTATCAGTGTTGTATAAAAATGTTAGAGTACAAGACTATTGTTTTGTATTAACCATAGCCTTTGTTTTCTGTACTTCTCGTCCTTGAAAATCTTGGGATCTTACAAACACTGGAAGAGACTGTGCCTACAACAGCAAACACCTTGCCACTGCTGCAGTCTTCATATGCAATCAGTCCAGTACACACCCCCAACCAGCTCCTTTCTTGGGTTCTCACCCTTCAGCTACTCACCTCTGCCCTGACCATCCCAGGGTCAGATGCCAGACAAGTAAACATAGCCTCTATGCTTCAGGGCCCCTGAAATTACTCAACTAGCTGATCCTAATGCCAGCTTATCTTGCTCTGTCCTTTCCTACCGAAATCAAGGTAAGTTACCTGAATTCTTTTTCCCCCTCTTTCTCTCCACCTCCAGACTCACCCTGGGACTCGCCCACTGGCCCTGAATGCCCTTCCCTGTAATAAACTTTTTTTTTTTTTTTTGAGACAGGGTCTCGCTATGTAATTGAGACTGACCTAGAATTCACTATGTAGCCCAGGCTGGTCTTGAACTCACAGCGATCCTCCTGCCTCAGCCTCCTGAGTGCTGGGATTACAGGCGTGCACCACTGCACCTGACATAAACTATCTTTTCATTGGCAGTTGTCTCCTGAACTGTTGGTTTCATATTTAAATAATAAAATCTACTTTTTAAAACACACACACACGCATATACAATCTTACCCACAGTCCTCAGCCCCTCCCCTAAGTTTAGGGACATAAAGCAAAAGCAGCCCAGATCTTTGGTGCAGTACCCTCCTTCTCGAGCGCACCAGACCCCTTTCAAAAGCTGCTATATTGTTTCTGTGCTGTTATAAACAGCACACATGAAACCACTCATGTTTGTGAGGAAAATAAAAGTTTATTCCAGTGAACAGAGACTAAAATCAAGGATAGCTTCTAGCCACGAGCAGTGAAAGAAAACTACGCTTCTGTGGATTTGGGGGAAAGGGCTCTCATCATAAGGAATGTTCACAATTTGAGTGCCCAAGGACAGTCTGCACAGGTTCACAGATAACCACTGGCCTTCTTGGCATCTGAGGGATTGTATACTTCCTTTTGTGTCCATTTGCACAATTTACCAAGAGGTCGTTGTTGTTTACTTTGTCCTGTTTGTTCACTTAGGCCAGGCCTGACACCTGCTGCCTGTGTTGTCTTCCCTTCACTGTGGGTCCCCCGCCATCATCTCATGGAGACACCTAGAATCTAGACATTTTCACCCTTAACAATGCAACCCCAAACCAGAAAGAGTCTCCTTAAGCCTCCCAGCCTGGCCCTGAACTCTGGGTGCAAACATTCCTACTGCAGCTCGAGAGTACAAGCCTTTCTTTTTTTGGAGACAGACCCTTGCTATGTAGTTCAGGCTGGCTTCAAACTTCTGAGGGCTGAGACTGCGGACAGGCCTATGCCGCCTCGGCAGGCCACTGTCTACTATTGCGAATTCCACAGTAAACCATTATTATGCCAAAAAAAAAAAAAAAAACTAAATTAGCCAGGTGTGGTGGTATACATCTGTAAGCCCAGTATTCAGGAGGCTGAGGCAGGAGGATTATTGTAAGTTTGAAGCCAGCCTCAACCACATAGTGAGATCTTGTATTTTTTAATGTTCTTAGAGACAATGGCTGCAGGTGACCTTGTCGATCTTGTCCATGCTCATCTGGTTGGACATGTGGTTGCTAATGGTGCATTTCTACAACAGGCATGAGTTGGGTCTTTGACATTGGGGTGGGGGGTTCTGCATGTCTAGATCACACTAGCTGCCTCAACTACCAGCACAAGCAAGACTGCGTGAAAAGCTGTTCTCCTAGGTATCTCAGAGTGACCCACAGAAGCAACAGGCTCCACATTCTACCCAGGGGTAGCCACTGTGCACTGGACCTCTCCAGGCAAAAGAAGCCCTGTTAGCTTAACTGGCTGCAGATTTTATTTTTTCTATTTTAATTTATTTAAGTATTTATTTATGAGGCACAGTACTAGGGATTGAACCTTCACACTGAGCAACATCCTCAGGTTGCTTGGACCTACAATCCTGAGGCCAGGTGCTCAGAGTGCCGGGATAACAGACATGTACCACCACACCCAACTAAACTTGACTTAATTCGTTTCTTTTTGTCTTTAGGATTTTATATTCTGGATATTTTGCCACAGTTCTATCTTTAAGACCACGAATAATTCCTTCAACACGGTCAAAGATTTCGTGAAACCCATGAACTGAGTGCATAGTATTGATCACAATGGTTTTCATTTCTGGAATTTTCCCCTCTTGTGACTCATTAAGAATAGCTATAGGGCTGGACGTGGTCGAGCGTACCTGTAATCCCAGCACTTGGGAGGCTGAGGCAGAAGGATCCACTGTGAGTTCAAGATCAGCCTGGGCTAGTGAGTTCCAGATCAGTCTCAAATATGTAGTGAGACCCTGTCTCAAAAAAACAAACAAACAAAATTAAGTTTATTGGGATCTGAGGATTTATCTCAGTGGTGCCACCACTTGCCTCGAAAGCTCAAGGACCTGAGTTCGATCCCCAGTACAAAAAAAAAAATAATAATAAGTTTATTGGTACATTTTAGGTATGTATATATGAAACTTATTTATTTATTTCTCTATTTACTTAAGGAACTGAGAATTGAACCTAGGTATTTCAAACTGAGCTATGTTCCCAGGTCTTAGGGGTTTGGTTTTGTTTTTTAACTTTTGAGGCAGAAGCCAGGTGTGGTGGTGCATGCCTATAATCCCAGTACTCAGGAAGCTGAAGTAAGGGCCAGCCTGGACTACATAGTGAGACCCTGAATAAAAAAAATTTTTTTAAATTAAAAAA